CTACACAGTGAGCAGCACTGCCTCAGGAAGCACATCTAGCAGCCATCTGAGGAGTGGCCAGTTTAGTTATCATTAGACTGTAATGTAAACACTGCATTTTCTCAGAAAAAAACTGTGTTTACTGCAAAAAGCCTTAAGGGATTGATTCTACTCACAAGAACAATAATCTGTTGTTGTTCTTGTGACTATAGTGTCCCTTAAAGTTCTCATAAAGTTAAAGAAATAATTAATTGAACACAGTGCTTGTCCATGAGTCATCTGCGATTGATGATTGAAAGAAGGTCTTAAGGAGGAAGTACCTCTAGAGGAAGTCAGTCTTATAGCTACTAGAGGTGTGTGCTTGAACAACTATATTACACTATCTATGTGAAGACGCATTAAGATGTAGTGGTTTTGGTCCTTAGAGTGTTCCATTAAGGTAATTCTGTACACAAAGGCATCCTATCCCTGTACATTAACCTGTGTGACTAATGATTCATATAGAGAATGAAAAGAAAAACATGGATTTTATATTGCTACATGATTTTACAGAAAGTTAATCTACAAATGAGGCACACTAAACACAATTTGTGGTGGAATGCTGAAATTTAAAAAAAAAACGTTTTATCAACAGTTTTGGAAAGCTGTGCCATTGAGTGGGTGATGCACAATTTTTAATACATAGAGAGCTTAATGATGAAAGATTGGGTGTAACTTTGGCCTTTATAATAATGTGTCCGCTTGAGCCTTGTCCGTCCCATGGGGAATTTGTGGTTTGAAACTAGATCATGCATTTAATTTCACTCACAGTAATAATTAGGCCTGGCAGTCCTATAAAGGACTAGAAGTGCATGTTTAGCCATGATTAGCGACTACATCCCCACGATATGTGATTATTTTGGACCAAAACATATTTAATTTTGTATATTGATTTATAACTCACAATCATTCAGGTAGGAAACACGGATCTCTCCCACTTTATAACATTCATTTATTAGTTAATTGCACTAGACTATAGTTATGTTTTTTAAACACATAAAGTTGCTTAACTGTTAAATCACTCTATTAATGAATTTTAATTTGTAAAGCTATTTTTTGTTATGTAATATCAGTATGTTAAACAGTGCGTTATCGCACTAGCACAACAATAAATATACATTTTTTTTCAGATTCAAACATAAAACCTGCACAAAAAAAAGTTTAAAAAGTTCATGGGAGTTTCAATAAACAGCATTAAAAATCTGTTTCTAGGTAACGTATTTGAAGTGTGAAATTTCTCTGTGACTGTTAAAATATGATTCTACAAAAAGCACATGTGATTAAGGAATGAACAAACTGCTTATGTTTTGCTTTTTGAATAGTTTAGTTGCAACTTGCAACAGTTTTGTCGTAGCGACTGTAGCTGGTAAAAACAACTTTACAGCTCACTCTGTGAAAAAACAAGAAAGTATAAAAACTGTCAAGCTGAATCAGCATAGGAAACATAATTATAAATATTAGCAAGAATATATTTATCTACTTTATATCCATATATTTTTAGATTACAAGCTCATTCGAGCAAGCCCTTCATAATATCCCCCTTGGAGGAATGTTACATAGTTACATAGCTGAAAAGAGACTTGCGTCCGTCAAGTTCAGCCTTCCTTACAAATGTTGTTGCTGTTGATCCAAAAGAAGGCAAAAAACCTGTTCTGAAGCGTTTCCAATTTTGCCACAAACTAGGAAAAAATTCCTTCTTGACCCCAAAATAGCAGTCAGATGTCTCCTTGGATCAAGCACCTATTACCCCACTAATTAGAAATTATATCCCTGTATGTTATGTTTTTGTAAGTATTTATCCAATTTCAGTTTAAACATCTGTATGGACTCTGACAAAACCACCTCTTCAGGCAGTGAATTCCATATCCTTATTGTTCTTACTGTAAAAAAACCTTTACTTTGCCTTAGATGAAATGTAAAATTCGACAGAACATGTTGGTGCTATATAAATGCTGATATTACTACTAATACTAATTTATGTAGCACAAAACCAGTGTTGACTAATGTATGACACCGAACTTAGGGTCTTAGAAGAACATGGTTGATATATAGACGATCTAGACAGATGTGTATTGGAATTTCCTGCCTTGGTTGATCAATTACTTTATTGAAATTGGGGACAAGGTATTAGTCTGTAAAACAGTAAGAAATGTATGTTAGAAAGTGAAGCAAACTGAAAGGTCTTTTATGATTAGTAAAACGCATATATTGGCTTGATGAAGGAAATTAGGCAGATATTTAACTGATTAATCTAATGATATAGAAGAATTTCTGAAGATATGTTTTTTGTGTTTGTTGTTCTTTACCGTGTTCGTTCCCTTTGATGTTGATGCATATCCTACTTGAACTTTTATCAAATATTCCTCTATTCCTTCCTGTTATTATTATTATTATTATTATTATTATTGGTATTTATATAGCACCAGCTTATTCCGCAGTGCTTTGCATTAAAAGGGGAATTTAACAAATGAGACAATAAAAGTTACAGAAACAATAGGTAGATGAGGACCCTGTTTAAACGAGCTTACAGTCTAGAGGAGGTTGGGCATAGGACACAATAGAAAGGGTGTTGAAGGAGACAGCAAATAAACATGGTGGGAAAGTAGTAGAACTGGAGGTGAGGGTGGAGTGTGGCCCTTTAGGATAGAGCAAAAGGCAGGTTTGTGAGATAGAAGTTACTCTTGGAGGCCATAAGCATTCCTGAAAAGATGGGTTTTTAGTTCATTTTTCTTGGTTGAAATAGTCTTTTAATTCCATTCATTCATCTCAAAACTCATGCTGCAAATTGAGGTTACCCATCAATTTTGGGGCACTGTACGTATTGAGCTTGATCCCATCAATCTTTATCATGGACCACATCATTACTTATTATTTTTCACAATCAACAAGTTATCCATCTTTCAGTGTTAGAGGTGGACAATCTAGGGAAATAGTTAAACGTGCTGTCTTTGTTGGCAGAAGTCTGCAGTTTAAAATAACATGCAGAATGTAATGTAGAGACATCCACAATTATAGTGTAGACAATGTTCAGGGCAACATGTAATTTAAAAGCATGAAAGAATGCATACCACATTGAAAGGTTAGTGTAGTACTTCAACAAATATGTGCTTTGCACAAAAAGGGTGAATTTATCTCACACTAGGGAAGTGTTTGCATATATTCTAAAATCAACATTTACTTTTTAGTTCTACTAAAAATACTTTATAACATTTTTAGGTGTCTCTAAAATTCTTACATGCAAGGGGTAATTAAAAAAAAAAAAGACTAACATAATTTCCTCCTTTTTTACCTATACATATATGTAGAGTATATTTTATCTTCACATCTGTCTCTAATTAAGTGATTAAAAACTCAACATTTTGACTTATGTTGTGATTTTCTAGATGGTTCAAAATATATTAAGGCAATTTAATTAGTGATTTCAACCACAGTGACAGGGACACTATGATGAAAATCAAACAGCTTCCCAATTCCTGTTTTCAACATCTGAGATTTAAAAGATTAACATTCCTGGTATATTTGTCTGGGCATTTTAATTATATTTTGTGGTTTGTACTTTTTTTGGAGTTTATGACAATATATTGCTTTTATAAAATACTGTTCATATTGCATAATGTGATCATAAAGGATTTTTCAATTCATGTTAAAGCAAAATGTGCAATGTCAAGCGGCACTGCCAACCTACTCCCTGAAAAATTGTATTTCATATCAATAGTATCTTAATAAAATACTAATTTTGTCTGGGTAGGAATTTCACCTAAATTCTAACTCTCTCAAGAAATATACAGAGACAAAGTAGTCCCTACTTTGTCTTTGTATTCTCCTCTGCCTGACTTTCTTAGACTCAAGTCAGGTCTAAGAGTCAATCTTGACAGCCATCACCAATCTAAGGAGTATTCTACATCCTACAGTCTCTTGGGATACCCCATAGACCTCAGTGCTGTACTATTGCGCATGCACGAGAGTAGTGTGACAAAGATGATGGCACCCATGATGGACAGGTTAAGGTAAGTAATCTCACCTTTACGTATCCCTCACAGCCCCAAACCCTCATTGATGATGTCACCATCAAGGAACATTGCAAATTCAGCAAAGTCCCCAGATGGTGACAATGCCGCTTTAATAAATGAATCCCAGGGAGTCGAATACTGGTGCAAGCAAAATATCCTAAGTATCAAACTGCACTGTAGCCTATCAAGCCTGGCGGAGATCTGATCCTTTTCATTTCCCCACAAAAGAATCTGGGGGATCCATCCCCCCTCAACTCCGCAACTTTTAAATCTTCAGCAATAGAGAGAATATTTAAAGAGCCACTCTAGGCACTATCATAATTTTTCATAATTGCAAAACATAATGATGCAGAGCACTTGCAGCAGAGCTGATCCTGGGTGGGTGCTAAAGGAGAACCGGTGGGGTGTGCAGTGCTAGGCACCAGCCCCTCACATTAGGCTCTGCGTCCTCATGTTAGGCAAAGAGCAGCAGAACTGGAAGGAAAAGGAAGTTGACAAGTTGTTTGAGGACAACATGCCATGTTGTTATCAAGCAGCTTTTGAGCTTGTAACCTTTTCCTTCCAGCTCTGCCCCCAGGTGCCAATCATGAGGGGGTGGAGCATAAGGAGAGGTGGGACCTAACATGAGGGGGCAGATCCTAGAATTGCACACCCTGAAGATCAGAATCTTTGCACTCAGCCAAGGCTGGTTCTCACTTGCAGGGTTATTCGCAAAACTGTGAATATTCGAAATAAACCCTAATGAAAATACTGAGGAAAACATGATCTGGGCAAATTCAACACAACTTAACTAATTTTGCCTCACTTTTTCCATTCATATTTAATTTGTAAAAACTTAGATTTTACTGAATAATAGTGATGTCCCAAACGGTTCGCCGAACGGTTCGCCACGGATGGCGAACGTATGCGCTGTTCGGTCCGCCCCCTATTCGTCATCATTGAGTAAACTTTGACCCTGTACCTCACAGTCAGCAGACACATTCCAGCCAATCAGCAGCAGACCCTCCCTCCCAGACCCTCCCACCTCCTGGACAGCTCACTAAGAATGCAGCTTCACAATGAATATAAAATGGATGCTGCCAGGAGGTGGGAGGGTCTGGGAGGGAGGGTCTGCTGCTGATTGGCTGGAATGTGTCTGCTGACTGTGAGGTACAGGGTCAAAGTTTACTCAATGATGACATAGGGGGCGGACCGAACAGCGCATATGTTCGCCATCCGTGGCGAACCGTTCAGCGAACCGTTCGGGATATCACTACTGAATAACCCTGCCCGAGTCTACTCTCTTCAATATAAACCACGGCAGCTTTAAGAAAGCCCTTCAGATCTGTCAGTCAAGCAGCCTGGAAAGCTTTCTGGCCACCAATATTAATTTTACAAAGCACACACACAACTAAGAGAGCTTAGCAGTGAACTGCACATGTGTGGACCACAGCTTCAGTAATAGTTTGGATGCTACCAATCTTCTGAGTTCTAATCATATGGAATGGGTGGAACTATTCTTCTTACAGCATCTAATGTTCTCCTGCTGGGCAACTTACAGCTCACCAGCTACAATGTGCATCAAGGTCAAGGTATGTGCTTTTATTATTTTAGAAATGTATTTTTCAAATTTACCTTTGTAATAGGGGTAAATTTTTTACTCATTTTTAACAGTTTTCCTTTAAGATACATATAATGCTTGTATATTGCTTTTAAATGCACTCCAGGAAACAGAAGGAAAGTAAAGACATCCAATAAAATTTATAGACAAACTTTGGAAGTAAACAAATTCTCAAGATCTACACCTGTGTTTCCAAGGGCCTCTGAAATGTTTAGTTTTAAGAGTATCTTAGCTTGCGTACAGGTGGGATAACTTAACTGTCTGAACTTCCTATTTAGCCACATGTGTTCTGGCAAAGAACCCCAAAAACACTGAACAGTTTATGTTCACTGAGGGCTATGGCTGAGAAACATCAGCCTAGAGTAGTGTTTCTTAACGTGACCCCCTAGGGGCTCACAATATTGTAATTTGTTGGGATATGGATTCACCAGCACTCACAGACAGGCTGTTTCCTAATCATTGATTAACTAATAACTCTGTGACTTTTAATTAATCTATCACATGGGGTTATTCACTAACCTTCGAATTGTGGACATTTGACCACAATATATCAAGTCAAAATAGCTGAGTTAAAAAAAAAACCCACAAAAAACTGAGAGATTTTGTTCTCCTTTGGATGTGTAGGCCTAAAATTTGAAGATCACTGGTCAATTCAATAAGGTGCTGCAACTCCTATCATGCATTTGTTGGGAGCCATACTCTATCAAGTGAAATTAGACCAATGAATGAAACCAGTTTATACCAATAAAATGCGAGGCAATTTCCAATAAAGTCTGTAACGTAGCTTCCTGTACCCCGACTGGGTACAGGAAGCTACGTTACAGGGAACAAACCGCTTCAGGGAACAAACCGCAGCACTTCCACCCACAAACAATAGAATCGCTCCTCTGTGCTTGGGAGATAATTGAATCAGGAACTGTACTAATTTACCCTAATTATCTCCAAGCTCAGAAAAAACATACAATTTTATGAAACCCCAAAAAGTACCTTGAAAACACACAAAACATCCCCTGATTGCCCCGATCTGGGTGATCAGCATATCCAAAAATCCCCCAAATCGGTTCAGGGGTTCAGGAATTTCCTGGAAGTCATAGTTTTGACCGACCACAGGCATTGCCCCATGCCCAAAACAGTTCCAGGTAATTCAGTGCTAACAGTCGGTCAAGTTCGGTAGTCTTTTACAGGTTTCCCTGCAGGGCCCATAGTCTGTGGACAGGAGGCTGGCACTCAGGCTTCTCCAGGAGCTTGTGGCAAACTCAGGTAAAAAGGGGAGTTTGCCACAAAGTGGTTTTAGAAAAAGTGCAATTATAAGTCAGTTGCGAACACTTCACATCAAATGTGCAGCAAAAAAACGCCAACATTAACCAGCAATAGTGCTGCGCTCAAAACCTATTAAAGTGCATTAAAGTCTACAGTGTGGACTTAATACTCATTTAATGTGCATGTAGTGCAAACAATATTTTTTTTTAACTTGTGTAAAGTGCTTCAATATCTTCATTACCTAAAAAACTAAAATAGTCCATACATAGTGCATCAGGTATTTACAACAATTTCCTCCCAGTTGGGTACACTCACATGTACCAGAGCCTAATGCTCAGCTCAGGGAGAATATCTACAATGTAAGACCTTGTCCACCATCTCTTCCAGTGCGTCCAACTCATCTTGTTTCAAATACTTGTCTGTTAGTCCACCTATCGTACAGCGCTCCAGATTTTGTTGGCGATTTATAAATAATAATAATAATATCACTCTGCAAGGAGAAACGTTGCACTAATGATTTTTCTTTAAAATGAGTACACACTGCAAAGCTCCTTGTACTATGTGATGTATGGGAAAGGACAGGGTAGCAATACAGGCAGCAGCAATCCTGGTTCTAACTTCAGTTTCTGTGTTCCTTGAAGCTTGAAAATAACAATATACCATGGCAGAAGGGTGCTACTCTGGCTTCTTAGTGCTAAATAAGGAGCAGTCATTATGGAAAGGAATAGACTTCACATCAAGATTTAGAACATTTCACCTGAATAGCACCTGTTTCGGCGTGGTCAATTTACTCAACATTTAACTTGCATAACCTAGAATTTGCTTCATTTAATTATAAAATAGAACATATGTTTTGGATAAATGTTTGCTTATTGTTTTTTTTCTGAAAACAAGTGACCTCTTATCATATATACCATGGGTAAAATAGATCTCATATTTGGAAAGTTAAAAAGTTGTTTATCCAGCTGTAAATACTTTGATAATACTTTCCTAAATAGATTAAAAATATATACCTCACCTTATTCTTCATCCCACGTCTAGATTTTCAATATTAACCCCTTAAGGACACATGACGGAAATATTCCGTCATGATTCCCTTTTATTCCAGAAGTTGTGTCCTTAAGGGGTTAAGGACAGAGATTAAATGCCAAGATTCGAAGACTCCACCTCTTTCTCTGGCATCAAACATATGGGCTGTTACCACTGCAACGCTGAAATCAATTATTGTTCCCATTAGTCATCAGAGAAACAGTACACATTCAACTGCAAGTAACCCCTGGGTTAAGCCAAACACAGGGGGCATACACAGATATGTTTGTGTTTCAAAGCTGGTTTTAGTGTTTATGAATTGTCTTATTGTGACTTGGCTGAGTTTTATACACTTAGGGGTGTATTTAGTAAATGGTAAATTACAGTAAATTAAAAACAGTCTGAACAAATAAAACAGGAGTAGGCAATCTTCCACACTTCCTGATTATTTGCCAGGACATGGCTGTAAAAGCATTATAGGAGTTGTAGTCCATGACATCTAAAGTGCCAAAGATAGCCTACCCCTGAAACAGAGCAAACAGTTGAAAATAGCTCAGTTAAAAAAAAGGTAACCAATTCACTTGGGGGCTCTAGTCAACAAAATATGTCAAATACATTTTGATGGAAATCTGGAAATGTAAACCAAAATTGAACTAAATCCGACAGCACTGTTCATGCTGATTGTTTATTAAATAGTGCTTCTTAACAGCTGACTTTTGTTAGTTAGCTGTTAAAAAAGTCAATAAACATCACATGTTCTTGAAATCTAATGGAACAAAACAAACAAACAAACAAAGCCTTCATTTAAAAATAAGCCTTCGGCAGACATACAGTTAAAAACAGTTTAAGAAAAAAAAGAATAAAACAAAATTAGTCATGGGTACCAGACATCCCACTTAACTGTGAGAGAAACAGCCAATGTCTGTCCTTTCTGTTCCCTCAGCCCACGCATATTGGAGTAAAGGTTAATAGAAATGATAGTGGCCAGACCGGTCAGAATGGCAGCACAGTTAATATGAAAAATATATAGGTACCTTAATTCATTGGCTGCCGGCCTGGCGGGAGAAAGGGGGTGCACTTCAGCCTGTTCCCAAAAAATAAACTACACTCACTGGGTTATTCACTAAAGCAAGAATTGAATGAAAGTGAATTTAAAGTGAATTTAATATTAAGGACCAGAAATAGCCAAACTGGAACAATTCCCCAAGTCAGATAAGCTTCCAGTTTCGCTATGTTGGCTTTAAATTTTACATTTACCTTACAATTCCTGACAAATTCGCATTTTAGTGCATTAACCATGAGTATAGGTAAACCCAATGTACAGTCCTGGTAGCTGCAGCAATCACACTCCCAGCAAGTAAGTATATTTATATATTTATATATTTACCAACTTTGAACGACATTTTTAAAATGTCTTCTTTTTTAGATAAAATTCAAAAATGCAAAGACGAGATGGTAACACAATAGGGGCGAAGAAAGGATTACAAGTAAACGTATTTCATACATGAGCAGCACTTTGTCAACAGCTCCCTATTTATAAATTCTCCTAATTGGAAGCTGGATGATGTTCTTTCCACTTACATTACATGATTTTCACTGATTAGGGGTTAATTATATCAGTAACACTATTCTACTGACCTCATCCTCTGGGCTTTAGGACAGATAATTAAGTTATTAAATGGTCTAGGCCCTAGGGGTCCCCAAGTCCATAACCATTCCTAAAGGTCTGTACCACTTCATGGCCATCCCAGCATGCCTCGCACAAATTGAACTCTTTCATCAAACATTCAGTTCCAATTTGGATTCAATCCTTCTGTAAACACACTGGGCAGTGCTAGGGCATGCAAAATCTCTCCTGGCCAACTCTACTAGTCATTTCTGGACTGCTTCTTTAATTCATAACTACATTTTGAAAAAAGGTTTTCGTCAGGAATAAGCACACCAAAATAATTTACATATTTATATGCGAAATAAAAATACAACAGTATAATATGTTGGTTGCGTTCAAACCTTGACTTTAAGAGAGCACCTCTAGTAAAAGACCTAATAAGATTAGCTCGTAAAATCCTCTCATTTTGAATGTCCTCTCCAGCAGTCCGACCATATGATCAACTTTTCCTTCCAATGATTGCCATTTAAAAAAGTTCCGAAATCTAGAACGTGTTTATAGACAAGTTATTTAATGGGCTGTTAGGTTTATGTTTCAGACTTGGTGAGTCGAAGCAGAGGTTGTGGGGGACATTGCAACTG